ACTGAAAGAAGTGAGGTTGTAGAGTACATAGACACAAGCATACTTTTGTCTCTTGTTTTATGAAATCACTTTTTGATTTTCAGCTAGCTTTGGAGAAGAGAAGTTGCAGGACAGACTGATCCTAGTTTGGACAATCAGGTTTCACTTTCAGGTCATTATTTTGCTTCTCTAAAATTGTAGTATTATCTGTGATCTAGGTCCATTTTTCAGGCATAAGAAGAAAGCTAATGAAAAAGGCCCATGGAAGCATTTCTCCACAAAATCCAAGAGAAAAAACTCCTTTGTGTTGAAATCCTCATGACAGAACAGTATGATATGGTTTTTCGGGACAGATCATCTAATCCTATCTTTTAGCCCTTGGAGCTGCTTTCTCCCAAATCCTCCATTCTTTATTTCTGACAAACTGGGTAAGCTAGCTGCAAAGTTTAGCCATATATATTTTTCCAAGCCTCCACCTCCACCTCCACCTCCACCCTTTCTTCACATCTTTCATTTTTCTTTCTTTCTTTCTTTTTTTGTTGGTTGGTAATATTGATTATAGTAATTAGTAAATGGCTTTATTAATCAAATAATTGTCTGTTAGTAGCTAAAATTTTGTGATTCTTGGGATGACGATGGTGAATTTTTACCGCTTGTGGTTGGCTAGTTGGTAGTAAGGTAAGAGGATGAAGGGTAGCGGCCAGGATATTGATTATTATGACAGGCTCTTTCATTGATTGGGTGGTGTGTGTTGGCTTCAGATTGGTATAGGGACGATGAAATTCATGCAGGTTATTGTTGAAATGCTGCTTCCTGTGTCCAAGCATGAAAGCCGTTTGAGGGCGGTGATTCTGATGGGAATAACAGGAAGAATGCCTTTTCAGCTCTTCACAAGCAATCACGAAATTGACCCCTTTTTTTTTTTTTTTTTTTTTTTTTGTGGGTAGGAATTGATATGGTAATATTTGTTGTTATTAGTGCAATACAAATTTTAAGTCTTGTCAAATATTGTTTCTAAAGTTCTAGATTACTTGTTTCTGCCGTTTAATTGCAAAATAAGATTATTCTATACCTTATGGTATAATATTCAATAGAGCTTTGTGCAATGGGATTCCGCTTTACCTCTTTGTGTTCTGGTTTTCTCTGATTCTAGCCCTGGGTCATGCTGCTTGGACATTCAACCAAAATCTAGTTATTTTTGAAGCTTAACATCAAACTCACCAAAAAAAGGAAAATGTTTAGGAAACAAACATTGCTTCCAAAACACCTCAACAGAACACTTCTTTGCTGGAATGTAAAATCAGAAATAGAATCCCAGTACATAACTGTTCCTCTTAGCCACCATGCTAAACGGAACACTGAGCGGTTATACCTAATACTAGTAGGATGAGTACAAATTAAAGAGGGAGTTCACCACTGTCTGCAATCACTACGGTACTCTTGGGTGTGCCACTCTGCTTTCCTTCAGCTTCAATCTTGTACACCACATCCATTCCAGACAGCACCTTTCCAAATACAACATGTTTGCCATCCAACCTGTAAAAAGTTTCATCTCCCATTAGCTTCAGAACTAAAAGCCAGTTATTTCATTT